ATGGTAACAGTCACATCACCTGGTTCACTGAGAGCAAAACATCCAATTTTCTCTCCACTGGTGAAGGGAGCGATCCACTGGTGCTTCTGCTCTTCAGAGCCAAACTTGAGTATTGGCCCTAAATACAGGGACTTTAAGAATTTAGTGTTGTTAGTGCCTCTTGAAGGTACAGCCAACCGAGTAACTCCCTAATGTGCTTTCCAACATGCCAGAACCCACCACAGGAACAGATCCACTTCTTCCAAACACCCCTCTGCAATGCCAACCTCATTTCACGCCTGCCCCTCACACTCACGTTATTGACGCTGACGATGACGCCGGTGGATGCGCAGCCCCTGCTGATCTCCTCCACGGCGATGGAATAGGCCAGGTAGTCAAGGCCTGCTCCTTTGTACTTCTCTGGCACGTCCATAGCCAGCAGCCCCAAGCCACCCATCTTCTTCACCTGCACACAGGGAATGGTCAGGTCACATCCTCTGCAGCACCAGTGCGCCAGCAAATACAGACACATGGAGAGCAAGACATGTCATGAGAGGGCTACACCCAGAGGAAAAGATGCACACAACTCCTGGTGAAATGGGAATCTGAACAAACTGATAAGTGTCCCCAGATCCCAGTGACTTCGGCAGGAGCTGTACACAGACACTGTTGTTTAGACTCTTTAGCTTGTTTAAAGAGCTGTCTTCAGTACTGGGAAGGGGGGAGCCTTCTGAAGGTGAGAGACAGAACTCCACCAGCATTTCCTCAGCCTCCCACCTAGCAAGCTCTAACCTTGCATGTCTCCTGTCAGTAGAAATGGGAAATCTAGCTGATAAAAATCATCGGAACTTTACCTTTGAGTCTGCTGAGCTTCAGCCTAGACCGCACAAGTGAAGAATTTTACAGAATGAATGGCTTCAGAAAACAGTGGTGCAAGGTGATTTTTTTTTTTCATTCCCAATAAAGCTAGATCTTGCTTCCCAGATAATTTTTTTTGTTAGTTACATTGCAATCAATCTACCCCAAGTTCCCCAGCTAGACCCCTTGCTTTGCAACCATAAACCTCTCCTTACTTTTAGAGGAACCAGGGAGAATTTTTAGGCACATAATTTCCCTCCTATGTGGGCACCCAAAACACCAATCCTCTACATTAAATCCAGAAGATGAACAAGACAGCCACTGATTCTATGTATGTTGCTTCATCTTATTAAACACTTGTTTGCATCTTAAAATTTCCCCTACACATTCAAGTCAAAAGATTCAGAATCAAATGTTAAATCCTCAGATGAGAACAGTAAGGTTATTTTCTTCCTCAGGGTAAATGTGACTTTACTGGCTACCATCCTTATACCTTACTAGAAAGAGCACTGTGACAAAACTTTCATGCCTCCAACAGGGTTTGCCTGGAGTCTCTTAGCTAATGTAACAGGATTTATTTTGCTGGAGCTTTGTATTTCATTGCTTAACACAGACACTGGTGTGTCTTTCTACAAGAGATCACTGTTTTGGTGGGAATTTCAATTTATTCACAGCCTCAGAGGATGAGCAGCATGTACCTCCTGATCACTTCTTTCCACCATCTAAAATGCAGTCACATCATCTACGCTTGCTCACCATAAACCATTATGTGCAGTCTGTAGAAGTATTTAATTAATTTTATAAATCAATTGTATGGTTTTTATTATAGCCTACAGGCAAGTCTGTAAGAGAACTAAAAACTCAGTGGTACTAAAGCCAGATACAGAGAAACACAAGTAAAGGTGAAAAGCTCAAAATGCCCTGTGGGAATTACAACGTCCACATTCAGAGCAACAAGTTGGCCTAAACTTCAATTTCCTGCTAAACCGGAGCTGGATGTACATTTTGCCTCGGCCCAAGGGGTCGTGCCCCAGAGCAGCAGAAAGGGGGTCTCTGCCTGTGCCATCCCAACCCTCACACCCACCTGCTCGGCCGGGAAGCGGTGCTCCTTGTCCAGCTGCGCTGCAAGCGGCATCAGCTCCTTCTCCGCGAAGTCCCGGACCGTCTCCCGCAGCATCTGGTGTGTCTCGGGCAGCTCGGCGCTCTGGTACACGGTGTGCAGCCGGCGGCACCGCAGGGCCAGCGCTGCAAGCGGGGAGGGGACTCAGCGCCGCCGCCGCCCTTCACACCGGGCCAGGGGTGGGCGCCAGCCCGTGAGGGGCTCTGAGGGTCCCCCCAGCCCAGGACACTTTCCTGCGGCTCCGCGGCCCCGGCCCAGCTGAAGGGCGGCGCCACTCCCTCGCCTGAGGGGACTCGCCTCAGGCAGGCCCTGAAGGGCACCGGGACGCCACCTCCCGCGCAGGCCGCGGCCCCTTCCCGCCCCTCCCTCGTGCCTCGCAGCTCCCCCGAGCAGCCGCAGCAGAGCGAAGCCGCTCTCGCCGCCCTTACCCCGGGAGGCTCCGCCGCCGGCGCAGCGGGACGCGACCGCCACCATCGCCGCCATGGCCATCGCGCCGCCTGAGGGAGCGCGGGGCCCCCGGCGCGTGCGCCCCGCCCCCTAGCGGCCCGGCCCCGCCCCGCCCCGCAGGGCCGCCCGCGCGGGGGGCAAAGGAAAAGAAAGGAAAAGAAAGGAAAGTCTTTTATTCCGACTGCTGGTGACAAAAATCACGGGGGTACAAATACAACGGCACCGCGGGGACACCCCGACCACCAGGACAGCCCCGCGGCGCTGCCACGGCCACGGGAGCAGGGTCCGAAGGGGACAGCACAGAGGAGTCCACGGGCCAGCAGCCCCAAGGCCACACTGTGAGAGATACAAATACGAGTCCTGTAACAGCGCTGGGATCCAGGCAGGCGGACAGGGCGTTTGCTGGTGTTCATTTTCCTGCTGCTGCAAAGGAAGAGGTGCTGACTCCACCAGGCTGCCATCACTCAGCCTTGTCCTCGGCAAGGACAAGAGATGGCAGCGTTTATGTCCGAGGGTCACACGCAACAGCGAGCCAGGCTCTGGGGTAGCACAAAGTAGTTCCAAAGTAGCTCCGTGTCACAGGACAGCAGGGTACAAGACTGGGAAACAGCTCAAGATTGTGATGAAACACAGAGCTGAGAAGTAGAGTTGCTACATTTGGACCTTAATGCTTCACCACCACCTTCCTCCTTCACTTCTGACTACTAAACACTTGTTTTATTCTTTCTGAACCCTCAGATAATGGAATAAGCATCCCCAAGCACCAGAGAAGAGGCTGCTGCTTCTCTGCAACAAGAAACATTGAAAATCCTCAAGTAGACACACAAAGGAAGACATTTCCTACCGAAAAGAGAGGACAAGGACAGAAGTACCCAGTCCATACAACAAGAAATTACCTTCCTTCGCAAGGTGCAGTATGTATTCCACACTCAAGATATGAAAATCTCCAATAAGTTTGCTGGCATGGATCCAAAGTCCTTGCCTCAAAAATAAGAAAAAGAGGTCCTGGTACTATGAGGACAAATACTGGAAAAAACATACTATGAGTTTGTGGGTTTGGTCCCTTTCTTTTTGAAGTTTTGAGCAGAACTCAGTATGGTCCCAACCTTTTTCTTTTTCCAACTCAGCACAGAACCTGAGAGAAGTAGTCTTTGTTGCCTTTTCCCTTGCTCAAACTCCAGCTGACACTGAAAGCATCTCCTACGCCTGCAGCAGCAGGCTAGGACTGACCATCCAGCTGTCAAGGATGTGATCCCAGTGGAATTTCTTCCAAGCTCACTGGCATGAGTAGCTTTGACCCATCATTAAAACACCAGAGCCCATACTTCAGAAGGAAACTGGTCTGCTAAACCATATTTACCAAAGACATCATCCCTGCCACAAAGAAAAGAGGCTTTATAGAAAGAACCTAAGAGAAAAGGAATCCTAAGGAAACTGCTAAAGAATGGACAGGAGTTTGGAAATCCCCGACTCTCTGGATTACAGTCAACTTTTTCAGTGCTGAGTTGCCCTCTTGTAGGGACTTCCTTTTTCCTGCAGCATGCTTTTAGGGCAAAGACCTTCTGATTTGGCAAAGCAAACAAACTCAGCTAAAAACCGCTGGGTGCTGCTGCTGCCTGCGAGTCTCCCGATTTTCCTCCAGTTCTCCCTTTTATTGCTGAATAGCTGACACATTCACCAGTGTGAAAGCAACCGCTTGAGTGCCGTTTCCTCGTCTCTGCTGATGGGCCAGGACAGGAATTCCCTTTTCCTGCCGGGACCCAAGGCGGGCCAGCAGCCGCTAGGTGGCGCTCGCGCCCCGCGTCCGCCCGCCCTGGCCACGAGCCTCCACAGGGACGAGGGAAACGGGAGGGAATCGTTTTTCCTAAGGAAACAGAGAGGTTGCTTCATGTAGAAAGTGTAATAAAAGTAATGTTTAAAGGCACCTGGATTTATACTACGTGCAAAATTTAGCTCCATATGCTAAAATTTGCCGGGGAATAACTAGTAGGCTCTTCCGATACTATTTCTGAACACTTCAGGATGAAAAGCACGCTTCCAGGCAGTTCTGCCTAACTTAGAGCAAAGTAAATGCTTCCCACCTCAGAGGCACAGCATGAGGGCTGCTGAAGGTGTTCACTCGAGCTCCACCTCAACAGCAGCTTTAACGAATCCTGAAGATCCTGAACAAGATTGCATTAGTGCCTGTGGAGATGCTGGAGGGGGGATTGATGATGGTAGAATTGTTCTTCATCGTCTCATCAGGCAGACCTTGCCCCTCCACATTCCCAAGACATTTGTTGTGGTTGCTCATGATTAATGCTCCACCCAGAACAGGTCATTTGTTGTGGTTAATCATAATTAAATATCTTCCTAAGAGCTGGAGATTCTTTCATGGCTGCTACCCCACACACTCTCACTGCTTACTCTGATGCCAGCTGATGTTCCATGCCAAAGTTGCTTTCACTAATCTGGAAGTAAAGGCAGTGGTTTCCTATTGCTGTCTATGCATTAACAGGCTCTAGGTTCTGATGTCCACCCCACTCAATCCTGCTAAAACAGGAACTACACTGAATCCCTCTTAACACAACAGGTAACCATCAAAGAGTTAGGTTTTAACTGTTTCAAGAACAAATGGAACTAGTGTTAGGAAAGGTCTCCAGTCTAGACACAATCTAACTCCTCTAACAAGAGACACAACTGCCCAGCCCAGCACGGGGACAGGAAAAGTACCAGTCTCAAAAGACATCAAAACTGGCAAAAAAGGGTTTTAATAGCTGAGATTTTTGCACAACTGGGAGGTGAGCCCCAACATAGCTACTGGCAAGACACAAGTCCTCCTCTTCCCACTGCATGATGCTATCTCCCATTGCCAGATCCCAAACACAGCTGTGGTATCAACCTCAGCAACGTGACTTCCTAAACCATAAATAAAAGCTGAGCAGGCAGAGCAGTGATGGGAACAATGAAAAAGAGAACCATGTACATTCTCACTTTCCAAGGATCCCACTCCATAAAACTGAGTGATCTGACCCAGGAAGCTTTTAGCTACTAATATCTCCACTGCAACAAAGAAAATGAACTGGTGCTGCTCACAGCAACTCTGACAGACAGGTCAGGTTTACAAGACTGAAGCCTAGGAAGCTCTGCTTCCTACTCATTTTTCAAGTGATTTTCCACATTCCTCCAAGCCCCACTAGAGTGACACCTCCACCCCAGTGAAGCTGACAATGTGCTGTCCACCTAAAAAGCGATACATTCTGTACCAAGGGCCAAAATTCCTACAAAGGGAAGAAGGAGAAATGGTAAATATAGTGAGATTAACTTCTGCTCTAAGGTTGACCCCCTGAGCTCCAAAATTCAGCAGTTTGCTCACAAAAGCTCAAACAGAAATGCTATCAGAGGGACAGCCCCCTCCTCCCCCTATCTCATATTTCTAGTGAAATCTCTGGCAAAAGAGAGATTAAATGTTCTTAGGGGTGGCTCAGGCTCCCAGAGGCAGATGGAATATTCCTGCACTGCTCAGAGAATGTTGGGATGCACCCTAAAAATTAATGTCAGCTATGCCACAAACAAAACCACTGTCACTGAAGAGATGATCTATCCAAATGAACAAAAGATCTGCTCTTCAAGCATCACTGGCTACTTGAAGGGGTTAAGATTTTCCTGCTAAGAAATAGCTTAACACAAACAACCTGAACAGTTGAAAAAGGATATTCACCCAAGAGGTGAAACATCAGAAGCACTAGAGGTGCAACCTAACTAGAAAGACTAAGAGCAAGAATTGTCTAAGAGTGCCTCAGACCACTGACCTAACCGAGGTTTATCAGAAGATAGCCAGGAACAGAGAAGGAGAGGCAGGATACACTGAGTGTCAGATAGAGAGGCGTTGCAGGGAGATTTCCTTTCAGAAGCCGTCATCTTTGCTTCATGTTCTCAGCCTCATGCATGGAGAAAAAGTTTGGCAAGAAGCCTTGTTGCACAAGACAACAACTCCAGTCCGCTCCTGCACATCTGGAATGGTTAAGGGCACCACAGCATCCAGCAGACAGAATGATTACTGTCCTCCATTATAAGCATAGTCGGCTTTGTTGTGCATAATCAACTTGTTGTCCACAAAGTAAAAGCTGTCCGAGCGTGTCTCGTATGGGTTTTCAACCATCAGACGGACTGTGAAAGAGAAAGCTCCATTACATTCAACAGCCAGCCACAGTCAGGATAAAAAGGACTCTGCCACTCCACTGGATTTACCAGGCTGATGCTCTGCCCTACCCAAGGAAGAGAAGCAAACTGCTCTGCTGAGCACACTTCAAAGGCTGCAGCCTGCCCTTTCCTTTCTTCCTATTCACAGGACAAGTGCTGTCAAAATGAAACAGAGGGGGAATCAAGTAACCTCACTCAAAATAACCTTAGAAACTGCCAGAGCCATGAGTGGAGCAGAGCAGCCATCACGTCTGTAAGCAGAAGGAGCTCATTTGTGGCACTCCCCACATGGACACAGGCAGGATGGAAATCCAAAACCTTCCCCACAGCCAGGCAGTCCCAGAAGGGCCCCTGTGCCTCTGCTCTATCCACCCCCTGAGGTCAAACATACCCTGTGCAATCTGTATTTGCAGAGATCTTAGCAGGCTTAAAAACAGACCTCAGGGAAGAGCCAGTTCTGTTCCAAAGCGAGAGGTTCTAGCCCTAACAAGCAAGTGCAGATAACAGATGGGTGGCTATAAAAAGAGCCTTTCTTCAGTGTTTTGTTTTCTTCTGGGCTACACTGTGAGGCATCAGGCATGTCAGCCCTGTGACTCTGATAAGTTCTTGCAGCCTGTGACTTAGCACAGGTTGTCTCAGGCTTTCATTTTCAAAGGAGGAGACTGCAGCACAAATCTCTAATTCAGACAAGATTACACACTGCTAAACTGGGAACCTGTATCTGTTCCTGTCCCCTCAATCCCAGTCACAACTTCTTTCACAAGAAGAGGGAGAGAATGAGCAGATGCACACACAAGCAAAACACCACTCAGTGCAGTGAAGGAGGTACTTACTAAGGTCTTCTGAGAGCTGAGGGAATTCATAAATGTGTTCACATGTGTTCCTGCTACTGGGGATGCAGAAGCCAAAATCAAAATCAAAGTTCTTCAGCAAGCGATCTCGGAAGTAATGTCTCTCAATCATTCGGAAGTTTGACACTGGCTTTTCTCCCACTGTGAATTCCACTCTGCATGGAAGAATCAGGAAAAAAACAGCTACTGGGAAGAACAGAGCCTTAGGCATGAGGCAACACAGGAGTTCTCTACAGAGAGTTTGATATCTGTAGTCTAAGATAAGCTCTCTAGAGTCTTCAACCCAGTTTTGTTATAAACTGTCAAGTAACACTTTGTAAACATCCCATTCTCCCTTCTTTCCATGAACTCATACTCACGTTGCACCAACAGTCCGAAGACGGAGAAATGCTGGGGTGAACTGGTACCGAACAAAGCGACCTGCACTTGCATCCAGTTCACTGCTGTCGTCTTCATCCTCCTCATCGTGCTCTAGAAAACACACCAGCCTGGAGTTACTCTGCTCATAGTGTACACATGAGATGATAGTGGCTGGTGGGTGTATCTGGACAAGCTGCCTACTGCTTAGGTACTGAATGTAAACACATTTAGTAAGTGGTCCGAGACTTATACTGGTACAAAGTAAAATAGGAAAGACTTGCCATGACAGTTGGCCCAACCTTGGTGGCTCCAGAACTGGAGTCACCCCTCCCTCAAACTCACAGGATATCCCCCCTCACAACTGCCAATGCACATGAACTAATCTCTATTATAATCAGCCCAAAAAGGAAGCTTGCCAGTCAATAGTTCTCTTCCATCCAAGAATAATCACATTTTTATCACAAGCTTCTCAGCAGAGATAAACTCAGTCCTATGCTTCAAGGAAAGCTAATCATCAGGACATATACCCAAAGACCCTTCTGCTCAGTTTGCATGGGTCATCCCATTCTCCCATCTCATTGCAACCTCACAGCTCCCTGAGTCTCTCTAGTCTCCCTGCAATGTTTGTGTGCTGTACCTGAAGCAGATGGCTTGGCAATTTCAAATAGAACTGTTCCAGTTTCAAGGTCCCGGATCTTAAACCTGGTGAAGTCAATGTTGTAAATGTTGTCCTCGGGTTTGCATAAATAATCTAGAAGAGAGAGAAAAAATATAGTAACATTTCAAAACACCCATGACCACTTACCAAATTATTTCCTTTTTGGTTAGCCCTAGCCCGATAAGATATGTACTGCTTGTTGTTTTGCAGAAGCTTCATGAAAGCAAGACAAAACTAAGGATGTGATAAACAAAGGCATGGTAGGTGCCAGGTAGCAGAGCAAGAAAGGGATGCGATTGGGACAGAAAAGCAGAGATCAGCAACCCAGAGGAAAAACATAAAAAAACTAAAAAGCCTCTAACAAATCAAAACCCTCAAACAGCACAAAAGCCCCCAAACTTTCTGGAAGTTGTACGGGAGCTGTCGGCGGGCGCTCCCCGAGCCACCGGGGCCAGCGCGCCCGAGCCGCCGCGACCCCCGGCGGCAGCGCCGGGCCGGGCCCCGCCGCTCCCCACGCCAAAGGCCCGGCCCGGCCCGGCCGGCAGAGCCCCCGCCGCTCCGGGGACCGGCCCGCACTCACTCTCCGTCACCCGGCACAGCCCCAGGACGTGCTCGGGCCGGACGGTCTCCAGCGCCAGCAACTCGGACTCGGTCCAGGGCTGCCGTGGCGGCGCGTCGGCCGATCCGCGCAGGCCCCGCAGGCGGCTGAGCGGCCCCGCGGACCCCGGCGGCAGCTTCTTGTCCGGCCCCGGCGCCGCCGCCGCCGCCCGCGCCCTGGAGCCGCTCATGGCCGCTGCCAAGATGGCCGCCGCCCGCCTCGGTAGCTATGGGAGCGCGGGGCGGGGCGCGGGGCCGTTGCCTGGCAATGCCGCGCCCGAAGCTCAGCAGGGCCCGCCCCGGTCGCGCCAGGATGGGTGACCCAAGAGCCCCGCACGGGCACCGCCGGGGACGCAGCGGGACAGGCCGGCTGGGAACGCTGAGTTACCTGAGAGAAAACAACTCAAGGAACAAATAAAACCGGCCCCACTCCCGCTGCCTCCGGCCGGCTGCCAGCCCACATCCCGCTCCTGCAGCAGCGCCCGGGGAGCCGGTGGTCACCCCTCAGTGGCCACCTGGGTTCCCTGTTCTGAAGGCACGGCCTGAACCCGCAGCGCAGCCGGTGACACAGAGAGCAGGTATCCCCCGAGAGCCCTGCTCTGCTCAGGACACGCTGGCAAGCACTTTTCGGGGAGCAGCAGAGTCAGCAAGAGGGTGCCACGGAGGGCACACCATGCTCCTGCCCAGGGACACCCCAGCTGCTGTCCCTGGGGAGCAGAACAGCGACAGGACCGTGTGCCCCTGGCCCAGGCAGTTTCATGGCCACACACCGGAGCTGGCAGTGGCAGACATCGGACGAGTCGCCCCAGCCTGGAGGAACTGGGGAGGTCCCATTTGGAGGGCTCACAGGAGCAACACACGGAGGAAAGAATGTGTTTCCTCCCAAAGAGGGGCAGCCCACCAGCCCGCAGTAGGCACGCAAGAGCCGCCAAGAGTCACCTCCAGCCCTCTGGGGAACTGGGGCAGGAACAACAAATATCTGCATCCTCTTTTCGGACTCCAGCCAACACTGAACATGCCCACGATGACCAGAAGCAGATTTTGAGCAGTGGTTTATGGCGCTTTCTGTGGCTTGTGAGCAGCACACTCTTGCTACTACCAGCCAAATGTTATTTCAAAAAACCCTGCCCACACTAGTGCTACTAAATCCTCCTCGCTGCATGGGTTTGGTGCCTCCATCCTGTGCCCTAAGGAAGGACAGTCCCAGGCCTTCTGGAAAACCACCTTCTTTGCCCAGGAGCAGGCACCTTGAGCACGAGGCTGCTGCTTTCTCTCTGACACGGTTTGAAGCTCAAAGCGGGGCAGTTTGCAAAGCCCCAGAAGGCAGATGACATCTCTCTGGTGCTCCGGCTCTGAGCAGGAAGCAACAAGCATATCAGCACTTTTAAGAGGATGTTGTATCATTCGATTGTCACTTAATCGCTCAAAACAACAGGCAAGAGATCACCAGGGCTGTACTGGAGGCAGCAGCGAGATGTTACCTGGCAGTCAGCCAGGCTCAGCCTCCCTCGCGCGGGTGCAGGACAGAGGGGGCTCCTCTGCCCCCACCACCAGAAAAGAGGGACCATCTCATCCAAGTGACAATATAATTTTGTTTATTTTCCTTTAGCACACTGCTGGTTAAACTGCCAGACAGTAGATTTCAGAACATTCCCTCAACCAAACATCCTGGGAAAATTAAAAAATAAAACTGCTACCATGTACCAAAAATAAAATAACCCACCCCCATGTCCATCTCCCCCAAACTAGTCCCTGCAAAGCCGATGCAATCAGAAATAGGTATCTGTGCTTTTCACCTAGGGCCCAAGCTTGCTGCAAATCAAACTAAAAAGTGTCACTGCAAGTTGTTGTAACAGAAAGCAATGGGCAGTAAAATAAAAAATCCTCCTCAAAAACCCTTTGTACTGGTGACACGTACAGATGGAGATTTCTCCCCACACTACTTCAGCCTTTACAGACAACTTAGACCTGCACCTTTTAGTTTGTGATGTGTCTGTAATGCCAGTGGCACAGGTCACATCCACAGCCAGGCACTATGGAGCAGTGGGACCATGTGCCAACGCTGACTGCTGCTACCCCAAAGGGAACCAAACACCACCACCTCTCACAGTCCTGGCTGCTGCCTCCTGGCATGGAGCACTGATCCTGCCTCTGCTCTCACAGGCTCCAGGGCTGCTTTACTAAGCCAGCTGCTTCTCAAGTGGGAAAGCCCTGAAGGCACAAAGCCCCAGAGGAAACCACAAAAAGTTCAAGCCCCCACTTGCCTGCCAGTTTCCAGCCACTGCTTTGCTCCAGAACACCAGCTCAGAAACTGCCACAGTGTGACAGAGCAGCCATGGTAGCACAGGAGAGCACATCCCCATTAAGTGTGACTGGGGACAACTCCAGGGCAGAGATCCTGCACTTCCTAGATTCACACTCTTCCCAGCTAAATCGGTTGAAGCTGTACTTTGCCCCTTGCCTTCAAATCTCCATCACACAAACTCTTCAGCAGAAACCTCAGATGCTTGCAAAAGATGATTCACATTTTCTAATCAGCCAGCAGAGTTTCTAGGAGGGTGGAAAGCACTTGTTCTGCTGATATTTCTGTTTTTTTAAATAAAGCACTTTTTGGGGAAAAAAAATCAAAACCTATCAATAACCTGCAGTAGCATCCCACCAATCAGACTGGGGACAGCATCGTCACATCCCTCCCCACCCTCATCTTCCCCTCAATCTCCAAAAATAGTATTTAATATACAGCAATAAACTCTGAGCAAGCCAGAGTCCCGGAAGACATGGACCTGCTTTCACCTCTCCCATCCATCCCAGCACCTTTCAATGCTACAATACTCCTGGGTCAAATACACTTGGATCCAGGGTGAATGCACGTGCCCCAGACCTGCTGGGCAGCACGAAGCAGGGGTGCAGCACAGGAGGCCCATCCGCGTGATCACGTTTTCTGAGCCTTCCCAGCTCCAGCCTGGTGTGTTTGTGCCGTTGAGAATATTTGCGTGAGCCTATTTGGGACCAGGCGGTGGAGACAGACTGGTGGAACCAGGCCGACGTTAAAATAGCATCTTTGAATTGTATTAGGCTTTGGCATTTGTTGTGGAGATGCAGAAGTGCCAGTAGGTAAATTAGCTCAGTGCTGGCCCAGTTCCCATTTCCCTTGGATTCTCAGCAAGGATATTTCCCTCCCCACCATACGTGCAAGAAGCAGACGGATCTCTCCCACATTTGAGCACCAAACAGAGCCTGAAACACTTGGTACTTCGCAGCTGCTCAGAATCTGTCTCACATCAAGGGCTGAAGCTGCTCTCATGGCCCTCTCCCTCCTGCTGTTTTCTATCAGCAACAGGCTTGTTCAGCCCAGAGTTCCTGTAGCAAGACACCTCCCTGGTCGCTGCAATCCCGTTTTAACTTAAAGGCCAAGGGACAAGGCCCAGGTCCCTGCTGTGTTCAGACCTAAGCAGCACAGGGCAAGCCCTCAGTGAGTAAACTGGTGCTGCAGGACCCACCAAGCCCCACTCTGCACCCAGAAGCTGTCAGTGCCATACAACTACCAGGACCCAGCATGACTCACTCAGCTCTGAACTGCACAGACGCCCAGGCACCAGACTGTCTGGAAGTTCTCCATCCTGCCTTCAGGAGATTTCCGGGGGAGATCAGACCTGAAGGAGCTCTTCCAGTTCTTCTATCCCCTGCTAGACATTTCTTCCATTGACTTTAAGGGCTGAAAATAAAGAAACTTGCTCGCAGTTCTCTACTTCAGCTGTGACCTCCAGAGCTGGCATCTGGGGACAGGGAGACAGTCCCCATCTGATCTCAAGGGCAGGGAATGCCTGTCCCTTAAAGAAAAAGAAAAAACTCAGAAGCTCCTTAAAAAAAAAGAAGCTTCTTCAAATAGACTTTTATTCAAAGCCTGAGTCAAAGGCACCAAAAAGAGAAGGGAATTCATTTGGCTTTCTGTTCACTGCCACCTGGGACACTCAAAAGGGTCAGAGATGTGTAGTCACACACACAGAAGACTTCAATAGCCTGGCTTAAAGGAGGGGCTGAAGGACAATTAAAAAAAGCTTTGAAACCACTACGCTGAGGCTAGATCCAGGCCTGAAACATCACAGACAGTGATTTTCCCTTTATTAAGTGGAAGCTTTAATAAAATTGCCATATCTGCCCTATCTTTTCTTTCCCTGGTCAGGACCAGGTACCTCATTATACCCATGAGTCTGGTTTGCAGATACTGAACAGATGGCCAGGGGAGCTGGAGTACTCCAGCTATAGTATACTCCAGTATTCCCAGCAAGGTGCTGACTGGCTATCCCCCACCATCCTCAGTGCTCCCACACGCTTTGTTTGAAGGCTCCTTCCAAAGCAAACCTGTCTGGAGAGGATGGACCAGGAAGGAAACTGCTCACAGGATCTTAACAGGGGCAGGAACCCCCCAGAAATCAGCCTTGTAGTGAGAAAGATGCATAAAACCAGAGTCAAAACAACTAAATTGAAGCCATGAAGGACAAACTATTTCTCCTTCCTATTCTTATTCAAATAAGACAAATTCATTTGAACTGAGCAAATGGAACAAACTAGATCACAGCCTGTACAGCTCTGCCTTGGGGCAGCTGATGGCACCAAATGGGTGCCCTGGCTGCTAGGAGAGTCCAGGATAAACTATCCTAGACTTGTCTCTGACTTCTGCACATCTAAACACACCCTTTCTCCCATGGTAGGCAAGGTGCTGAGATTACTGCGTGAGCCACAAGAAGTCAAGTGATTCCTTGCTTCAAGGATGCTCAAATAAAATGCACCCTAAAAGGCCTGGAGGAGAGCAGCTCCTTAGAGAGATGCATGCTTTCAACCCCAGGTTCTTTGCTTAACAAATCATCACAGTTCATGGTTCTCAAAACTGATAAAGATCTAAATGTCTCTTCTATCCAGTTAGAGCAATCCCAAAAGTGCTGGAGAATCCCTGCAGGCACTATCACTGAACAAATCAGAGCTCATATTTTATAATAGATTTCTAAGTATTAGGATTTTAACAGTAGCTAGAAGATGAAGCAGACAACTTTAAGCTTACCACCTTTCATCCTAAGGTTTGTTCTTCAAGATCTGCTCTCTCTAAAGCCTGTATTTTCCTTTAACTGGGGCAGGGACTCTTCCTCCTGTCCCAAACTACCCTTTGTGCAGTTGGAGAAGATAATTAAGGTAC